ACGGAAGGGTGATCCTGTTGATTTATAGAAGCATACAACCAAAGGGTAGGGGTGAGGGCACATTTTTTGCATCAAGGCCAATTTTTTACTATTTATATCTTATATCACTATCTTATTTTCTGTTCTTAACTAATGTCAAATATCAACCCATTCTTTTCAACCCCAAATGTTTTACAGAAAACAAATGGGTAAAAAACTGGATATTTACATAAATGATTCTTACCAAGATAAACTTTTAAATTCAAAACGTTAGTCATATATAATTCCTATATATATAAAGGTTAATTAAAGAAAAATATCTTGCCACTAAGACAGTATAATCTGTCACTAGAATTGAAAAATCATATCTTCTCCTAGAACCATAAATTCAATCAGTGATTTATATAAAAGGAATTAGAACATACCAGTATGTAATTCTTATTCTAAGAATTCATACATGTCTATCCAAAACAAATGAAATCTACTGGGTTTAAAACTCTCTAGAAAGGAGAGAACTTGCAATTTCCTTCTAGTAAAACTCTGCCATTAAATATATTTCCTTTATATCAACTAATAAGTATATATGCTAACCTCGGTGGTAGAGGGTGAGGGAGGTGATATTTAAGATTTTTATGCACTGCCTCCATATCAGTCTTCCTAGGAGATGGTGCTCGCATGTAGCTCAAAAGCAAAACCAAGGCCTCAGGTATACCTAATTGGGCCATAATTCTACGACAGTGGAACTTTGAATATAAGAATAAAAGAAATTATAACTGAACAGCACCTAAGCAACTATCTTCTCTCCTTTATTTTCTACAAGGTTATGCTTCTGACTCTCCTCCTTCCTACATGATTGACATGGCTATTTTGGTCTAGGAGTTACTCCTAACATAGGAACCATCCACCTAAAAACTACCGGAGATCAAAGCGGACCATAGAGAAATACTGTGTGGAGTGAATGGCTTAGGGCAGCTCTATTCTAGGTCTTAAGGCAAAAGACTACACCCATTCCCTCCTTCATACTCAAAGGGCAAAATGTCACACAGGACAAGAATAGAGGTGCCCTTCAACTTAACAAAAGGGAGTCTGCAGGCTCATGCAATATTTATCCTAGTTCATAGAGTAGGAAATCACTGTTATTTGAGGACAAATAGTAATGCCTGGATCTTATCAGTGCAGTAGGAGACTGCTGGTTAAAGATTTTCAATCAGGGAGTATGATTAATATTAACTTAAACCTTTCATGCCTCACTTTTTATTATTTATCTTATAGAGAACCACCTGATCACAACTATCTGCATGAGAACTTTGACCTCATATCCTTAATTCAAAGATGAAAACCACTGCAAACAATCTGGGATTCATCTTAGTAGATGTATTTTTTTCACAGAGATGTGGGTATAGCTATTCTGAAATTGTTTATATATTGTAGAACTCAACGAATAAACAAACATATGGGTGATGTTGGGAGCAGACATTACCTTAACCAAATGATTCAAGTTAACATCACTGGGCCCAAATTGACATAATGTGCCTCCTGATACTGTGGACACAACATCAATTCTGTGGCATTCCTGCCCAAAATGCCTAACTTGAATCTAATCATGTGGAAACAATTAAAGAAGGCTAAAGAGATAAGATAATTAAATGTATCACAATCTACTGAAGTGTAGATTAGATAACATTATGTACTGAATTAAATATCCTATTTAGGTAATTGTTATATGGCTCTGTAAGACAATAGCTTTAGTCTTAAAGAAGATAGTTAGTATTTAGAAGTAGAGGCATGATGTCTGCAATTTATTCCCAAACAGTCCATTAAAAAATATACGTAATAATAATAATAATAATAATAATAATAATGATGATGTATATTAAATCTTCAGTTTTCCTTTCTTCAAACTTAAAAATCTCAATTATTTTAGCATTTTAAATCTACATGACACAAATGATTTTAAAAGTTGTCTATTTTAAACAGAAATGGAAAGCAAAAAAATAAGAATCTATAGCCTCAATTCAATTCAATTTAAAAAAAAGTATTGAGTACCTATACACAGGGTTCTTATATTCAAAGAGCTCACAGTCTATCGGAGAAGGAGAACATGCATATAAATACAATGTAAGAGAAGCATACTGTACGTACCAAAAATAAAGTATAAAAAAGTGCTAAAGGAATGTTGAGAGGGAGCGATTAATTCTGACTATTATATTAGTGTTATTTAACCTTTATTTTTTACTAGGCACTGTACTAAGTGCTTTATATAATAATTCATTGAATATACCAACAACCTCATAAGGTAGGCACTATTATTCCCATTCTACAGATGAGGCAATTAAGGCACAGAGAAGTTCAGAATCTGGCCATAGGTTATCCAGCTAGTTAGTAATCCAGGTTTCAAACTCAGGAAGGCTGACTTCATAGCTTATGCAGAAGCTTACTAAAGGAAGCAGCATTTGATTGACCCTTAAAAGATGAGTATAATTTCAAAAGAATGGGAAGCGGGAAGGATATTTAAGGCTGCAGGAAAAACAACAGTAAAAGTACAGAGATAGTAAATATAGGTTATATAAGGAAAAGAATGAAAGTTCAGAGAATAGTATGTAAGATGTGGAGAGAAATAGGTAAGAGCAGAGGGTAGGAGATTAGATAGGCTTAAGAAATATATTAGACTTCACCATGAGGATTACATAGACTTTGTTAGTAAAGAGAAAGATTTTTATAATATGTGCCACAATCTTGATATAACACAATGAATTCAGTATAAGGAGTCAGTCTTTGAAACATCCAAATGAACCAAGTGTCAAAAATAACTTACTACAATTCAATCTGTCTAAAGGAAAGCACCAGAACACAAACCATGAGAACACTTTCATAGTTACCTCAATACCCCTATGTATGATAATTTTATTTCACAAAGATCCTGTTACCATGTGACACTGAAATTGCCAAAACTGAAAACAAAAAATCAAAATGCCACAGTTCTGCTTTAGTTTAACAAGACCATAAACTTTTTAAGAAAGTCATTGAAATGTGAATAAACCTTGTTTTTTCTTCTGTGATAGCTCCCTTTATCATAATATTTATGAAAACAAGGTGAACCATTTACAAGGATATAATAAGCATTCCATAAACTCCATTAGATAGGCACTTATAACCAGTAAAACAACTACACATGAATGCTTAACGTCAGAATTCTGAGTTGGTTATTGATTGCTCATATAATAAGTGAAAATGTTATTCTGGTCTCCTAGTAAATTAATTATGGATAAAGCAAAACATGTGGCACTTATAAAACTCTGTTTTTTACTTCTTGATAAACATTAATGAAATTCTGATTTTTATTTAGTAAACTATAGGTTTAACCTATTTAAAATCTATATTATAACCAAAGAGTAAACAAAATCCAATTATAAGTACAATAAAAATATTTAAATGTTTTCAATCATTTAAATTTTTCAAAATGTCAAGAATATTTAAAATTAAAACATTAATGAAGTCATTAGTGACTATTTTTTATATATTTAATAAAAGACCAAAAAATGAATTTTATTTTTATAAAATATCTTTGAGGCAGAGTTTTTAACTGCCCAACAGAATCTTCTTCCATTCTGGAAGAATCATAAAGTATTTCCTTGATTGACAGAACAGAATTGATCAGTAAGATACAGACATTAGGAAGCATCACAGAACAGAATATGAAAAAGAAAGGCAAATGATTTCAAAGAGCATTTGCAAATCAAGTTATATTTGGCTTAGTATAAAACTAAAGAATACATGAACAATTAAAGAAATAAAATATTGAGCTACAAAAAGTTCTCCACATAAAAATACCTAAAATGGTATTTAAAATTCAACAATCATCCTTTGTCCATGTCTAACTGGATATCTCAGAATAGGGAAAATCCATAAGGCCTTTAAACGAGGTTAGGAAACTGAAAAGCAGTATAATATTATAATCTTGAACTGATACCACAGCTGCCTACATTGTATTTGCTAATAATAGGAATCTAAGCTTTAGCAGTAAGACAAAGAAGAGAGGCTAGTCCTTGATCCCTAGAATGGTGACAAGTTGGAATTAATATCACTACATGACAGCAGAAACCTTGAGAACCTATATTCCCTGTGAAAGTATGCATTAAAAGTCTACTCAACAGCGAAGGAAAATGATAAAAGGTAACTTGTTTGTTTAAACCTCAGCTCCTTATAGAAAAGGCAGACGGAATCTCAAGCTGAAAAATTAATGCTAGGTGGTCTTAAATTCTAATACCTTCAGATGTCCAGCAAAACAAATATAAATTTTCTTTTCTATGGGAATTTCTTCCTAACCTCCCAAGGCCCCACAAGATTCCCACATATTTAGGTAACCCAAAAAGAATTCACAATCTAAAATTACAAAACTGATAGGGAAATAAGAAACCAGGAGTGAAGTCAACAGAAACAACAAATAGCAGAATTAGACCTCTATTATCATCAGGTATTAGAAATAACAAATACAGACTATAAAAAGAGGAAATGGGAACATAAGCAAGGAAAACGTTATCAAAAACAAACAAATCAAATATAATTTCTAGCAATGAAAAACATATTTAACTAAAAACTATAAATTTATTTTTTTCAAACAGTATTTTAAACAATTGGGGGAAATGATTATGGGCTGGTTATTAGATGTTCAAGGAATTTTTGTAAATTTTTATTATGTGTGATAATGACATAGTGATTATTAAGCTGTCAATATTTCTTAGCTGCATATACTATAGTATAACATGTTATCTGAGATTTGCTTCAAAATACTCCAGCAAAGAAAAAAAGAAATAAATGAAGCAAATGTTAGAAAAATGTGGGATATTAAATCTGAGTGATGTATACATATAAAAATTTTATAATAAAAAAAAATGAACACTCAATAGATAGGATAATCAAAACATTAGGTAGAGCCAAAAAGAGAATTGGAGAATTGGAAGATGGATCTGATGTGAGTATCCAGATTATGAGAAAAATTTAAAGGAGAAAAACAAACTCACCTTCCTTTGGGCTCACTGCTGCAGGAAGACTGTTCCAGTCAAGGGTCCAAGTAGGGCAAGGGTGAGGAGAAAACATTGCTTCAATGCCTTTTTCCTAGAAAAGGAAATAGGCCTTTTCCAAATTAATCAATTAATAACATCTTGTTATGGTCTACAAGGCCAAATTTCTATTTTCTATACTAGTAAAGAGGAACATAAATATCAACAATCATTAATTTTTCTTCAAAATGTTTAGTTATATAATAAATATGATATACTGTGTTTTTTGACAGCACAGTTACTTTCCTATTAATTTTATACTGAGATAATAAAAAGTAATATTTAAAAATTATTACCTGAAAATACATAGAAGTAACAGCTACCTAGAAATGTATTGGGTGTCAAAAAGGCAAGTTACCTGAGGATAAAAATAATATCAAAAACAATCCACACAGAGATAATAAAAAACTGACTCTGCATATATGCATCAATGTCTGTGTTTACATATGTGAAAATTGCCACAGCCTAGGAGTTATATTTACAGGACCAAAAAGCCCCCACTTCAACATATACCCCAAAATAGCATCCATACCAGTCTTTTACAAATGCCTGCAATGTCTCTAGGAAAGGATTCCTCTGGTTTAACTAAACAGTTCCCAACATTTTCAAGAATGAGGACAGCTTTTTAATCTGTCACAAAATGCTCAGGCTCCTTTCCCATGTTAAAAGTTGTACATTTATTTATTTGATCAACAGACAGTGGTATGGCATACACATGGATTCCCAGACTTCTTCCAATCATATTCTGGGTCTACAGCCCACAGAATAGATATCCATGGTTCAGGGTTTGTTTTTTTTTGTTTGCTTTTTGTTTTTTGTTTTTCATCTCCAGAATATACTATTGAAAAGAAAAATCCCTGAGAACCTATGATTAACCCATTTGCTTCAGTTAGTTCATGAGATTATTTTCCATTATGAAAACTAGCAGAATTCCTATCCCAAAGGAAATAGCATAGAAATTCTCTGGTTGGGGTCGAGATATAGCTATAGGTCTAGAGGACTAGAGCACTCACTTGCTTCTAGAAAGATAAACACACGTATCTCTCTGACATCATTTACCTCTCTCCGTCTTCTTTATTCTAGTCTAGCCATATTGAACTTCATTTTACCAAACTCATTCCTACCTTAGGGGCTTTTTAAGAATACAACTATATTGAGATACAATTTATATGCCATGAAATTTACCCTTTTTAAAGCATACATTTAAATGTTTTTCAGAATATTCACAGTTGGGCAACAACTATCATCATCTAATTTGAGAACATTTTCATCACCTCCATGCTCCCCTCTCAGCTCCCTGCCCTAGACAACTCTGGTCTACTTTGTCTCTACAGATTTGCTCAGGGTAATTTTACTCGCTAAATTCTCTGCCTGGAACACTTCCTCCAAATCTTCAGCTCATTCAGGTTATTTGCTTAATGTGTTCACCTCATCAGATAAGCCTTCCTGATCACCCTACTTAAAAAGGATTCCGACCACAATCACCTCTACCCTGTATCCTACATTATTTTGTACTCTACTTATCATTACCTAATGTGTTATATACATTTGTGTTTTTCTTGTTTTTACCTCCACCACCAGAATGCAAGCAGCATGAGGGCAGTCCGATTTGCTCCTCATATATCCAATATTCAGACCAATGCATGGTGTTTAGTTGACATATGCACATTTTTTGGATTGACTAAATAAATAAATTTAAAACTTCTGGAGAATAGGGAAATTGTGGAGGTAAGATTGTGCCAAAGAATACAGAAGAGGGAGAAAAAAGGTGAGATGTGAGTGTTCTTAAGAAACACTTTACTATTTTACACTTCCACTTAGCACTAATTTCATGAATCCTCATGTAATTGGCACAAAATACTGTGACTATACAGAAATGAAAAGTTACTGCATAAACAAAAATTAATACATTCACAGATTATATTATTTTGGTATAATATTTACTGTCTTTCAAAACATGTCATAGAGAAATCCACTAGTAAGTAGCAAAAATAATGCTCTGTTAAAAAGAAATTTTACTGTATCTACCATCAAGTTTGAATTAAATGAAAACAAGAAATTTAACTTATTTTCAAATTTGAATGTTCCTTTTTTAAAATTGTAAATGTAATGTCCCCATCAAATATTATACAACCATAAGATTTAAAATCAGAAGTGAATCATACAGAATGTTTATTAGACTCTCCCAATTTATAAATGGAGACATTGAGACCTTTTAGTACATGACTTATTAAAGGTCGCAGTGTTGGCTTAGCTATAAAGCTGAGACTAGAATCCAAGTCTCCTGGTCCCTAGTATAGTCTTCGCACGGACTGTTCCCAACTCAGTGACTGAGAGTGGCACAGATACCAAGGCTGGCCCATTCCCAAGAAACATGGAACGCTCTGACGGGTGATTCAAGCTCAAGGATTCCCCATTGGCTTGTCAAAAGTGCCTCAGAACTGCCTTAAGTCTAAGAACGTTCCAACTCAGCCTTCCTCTTCCTATCTCATGCACCATGGACTGAAGGCTGTCTCAGCCCCCTCCGACTCCCTCCCCACTCTCCCTCACAGGTGTTTTCCTCAGGAGGCCTCTAGCATATCTAACTCTATCTTGGAGTCTCCTTCTTGGAGGAACTGAACTAACAAATCCCCTGTAAATTAAAAATTCAGAATTCCATTGTATTTTTATATTATTACAAAAGGCTTATTTTGACAATTGTTTATTAACTTTTTCTGAATTTAAATTTTAGTTATTTATCTCCCTTTGTTTAGAAACATTTTTAAATGTATAAAATGCAAATATCTTTCCTAATTCATTTTACTGCTGGGAAAGCATAGGAAGAAAAATCTGAATTGCTAATCTTTCTTTCAAAACTCTGCATAAGTATGAATTAAAAGCATAGGTTTGGTTTGTTAAAATTTTTAAAATTAGTATTTAAATACAAAGCAGATTATTCTCCTGATGATTATTTATTTAAGAATACTCAGAGGTGAACAAGAGATCCCCACACAGTGTAACTATAATAAAAGCACTTCAAACTTTGGACATGCCTTAATAGTTTCTAAAATCAACTATATAATCCAGTTTCATCATTTCATTACTAGGCTAACAAAACTTAGCAATATTTGGTTCTGTAATAAAGAAAAAAATATCTACAAATAAAATTTATAACAAATAATGTCAACAAATGATTACAAGTTGGAGTAGAATGCTCAGCAACATTATCACATGGAGTATTTTAAAGAAAATTTTAATAAAAAAACAGTTTAAGTACCATTAACTTGGTCATAGTGGGTCTCGGTCCTCCTATAAATGAAGGCTCATTTTGTTCCTCTGCACCCGGGGCCTCCTTTAAGTCTGGATGCTGTTCATTTGAGGTGCTCAGCAGCTCTGGTAAATGGAGAAAGTGGATCCCACAGTGAGAAGCTGCCGTTTTCACTCCCGGCACTTCCTGAATCCTCCGGTACCAAGCGGAAAGCAGTGGAAATTCTACCAGTTTTTCAGAAAGTTTCTTGCAGATAATTAACTAGGCAGGAAAAGAACAAAAAACATTATTATATATGTTTTTGCTTGTTTATGACAGCTGTATTGAAGTAACTTTACATACCATAAAATTCTCACATTTTAAGTGTAGAGTTCAAACAATGAGTTTTAGTAAATTTATCCAGTTATGCAACTATCATCATAATCCAGTCCTAGAACACTTAAGTCACACCAAAAAGTCCCCTTGTGACCATTTGCAGTCCATCTCTGCTCCTCTCGTCAGCTGTAGGCAACCACTGATCTACTTTCCATGTACATAATTTTGCCTTTTCTGAAATTTCATATATACGGAAACATAAAATGTGTCTTTTTCCATTTAGCATTATGTTTTTGAGATAAATTCATGCAGTTGCATTTATCAGTAGTTTCTTTTTTACTTAAAGTAAGTGCTTTTCTATTTATTCAAATTAGAAAAATTTGAAACCATTATTCCTGATGTAAATTAATATTTCTTTTTGTTTTCTCTTGCTCAGATGCTTTCTCTCTAGCATGACCACCAAACTCCAATTTCTTTAAAAATTAGAATGTTTTTATTTCTTCGTGAGGCACTGAACATTGTTTCCATAGAAACAGTTATAATGTCACAAACAGATTATGGCGTATGATTATGAACAGATAGATAAAAAGGTCAAGTTACAGAAAATCTCTACAAATATACCTAGCAATAATCAGTACCAAAGCAGGAGCCAGGAAGCACAGAAAATTAATGAAAACTTCACTTGTGTATATTTATTTACTCTATTTTAACTGGACTTTAAGGTTAAATAAGCATACGTAATTTATTATAAAGGCAGGATTTATGTCTAACTCTCTGTACATTGCAAGCACTTAAAACACTGCCTTGCAAAAAAATGCAAACTGTTCAGTGAATGAAATAAATCCTCACTTATATGGTCAATCTATGACAAAGGAGGCAAGGATATACAATGGGGGTAAAGACAGTCTCTTTAACAAGTGGTGTTAGCAAAACTGGACAGATACATGCAAAACAATGAAATTAGACCACTTTCTTATACCATATAAAAATAAATTCAAAATGGGTTAAAGACTTAAATGTTAGACCTAAACCATAAAATTAGAAGAAAACATAGACAGTAACTCTTTGACATTGCTCTTATCAATATCTTTTTGAATACATCTCCTCAAGCAAGGGAAACAAAAGACAAAAGAAATAAATGGGACTATATCAAACTGAAAAGTTTCTGCACAGAGGAGGAAACCATCAAGAAAATGAAAATACAACCTACTGAATGGGAGAAGATATTGACAAATGATATATCCAACAAAGGGTTAATAACCAAACTATGTAAAGAACTCATATAACTTAAGACCCAATCCAATTAAAAAATGGGCAGAGCACCTGAATAGACATTTCTAAGAGGACATGCAGATGGCCAAAAGACATTGAAAAGATGCTCAATGTCACTAATCACCAGGAAAATGCAAATCAAAACCACAATGAGATATCACCTCACACCTGTCAGAATGGCTATCATCAATAAATCAACAAATCAGCAATAAATCAACAAATAAAAAGTTTGGCGAGGATGTGGAAAAAAGGGAACTCTCATATACTGTTGGTGGGATTGTGATTTAGTTAAGCCTCTATGAAAACTGTATGGAGATTACTCAAAAATTAAAACTAGAACTACCTTATGACCCAGCAATTCCACTTCTGGGTATTTATCGAAATAAATCCAAAACACTAACTCGAAAAGATTATATGCACCCCTATGTTCACTGCAGCATTACTAGTAATAGCCAACATATAGAAGCAACCTAGGTGCCCACTGATAGATGAATGGATAAAGAATGTCACACACACACACACACACACACACACACACACACACACACACATGAATATTATGCAGCAATGAAAAAGAATGAAATCTTACCATTGGTGAAACCATGGATGGACCTAGGGGGTATTATGCTAAGTAAAGTAAGTCAGACAGAGAAAGACAAATACTACATGATATCACTTATATGTGAAATGTAAAAAACAAACAAACAAAAAAACCAAAAAACCTAATGAATCAATAAATAAAATTAAACAGTAACAGGCTCATAGATATAGAGAATAAGCTAATGGTTGCCAAAGGAGAGGGAGTGGGGGAATGGCAATAAAAAAAGCTGAAATAACATAGAAAATATGAGAGTACACAGAATATAGTAAAGTGATTATTTTTGAAGTATAAGTATATTTATATATATGATCTAAAGATGTATATTTGTATCTGCTTAATCACTTTGTAAAATACATTATTTATTATGGAAGTAAAGTTTGAAAAACACTAGGAGCTAAAAATTTTATAATTCTCACCAAAATTCTTAATTGCCTAGAAATACACGATGTGTTAAGGGAACTGAGCTTAATCCACGATAAATTAATCAGATGAAAAATGTTCTCATGTCCTCACCTTTCTTTTACTCTCCTTGGTAGTGATTTATTCTTCTTTGTTAGATGTACAATATATGGTATCTTTCCTTCTTTTTGAAAATAAGTTGTGATTAAGTAACAATAACTCATGTTTAAAAGAAACTGAGGAGTTTTACTTTGCATGACAGATCATCCCACTTAATCAAACACGCCAGGCTGCTCTACAATGTCCAGACAGCTCAGGAAGGGCTAATAAAAAATGTGTGAGATGAAAACTAAATCTGTTCCTAAAAAATGATTTAAAAAAAAGTTACCCAGGCTGGAAAGATTAAAACTATTATGAATAATAAAAGTTATTTAAGGACAAGGAAATAAGAGCATTTATTCTTAAAACATTGTCACAATGATACTACCAAGAGCACAAAGTGAAACTCTAGTGGCTTTGTAGTGAATTGTAGAAAGGGAAGAAAAAAATGTCTGAATAAAAAGAGAAGCAAGATGCTACATCTATCCAAAATATCTCCTCCTCTGCATTACTTTCCAATCACTTATTATATAAAATATTTTGCAATTATTTTATATCATTTGTTTAGTTATGTCTACTTTTTCAAAATATAATATGTCATAACTAACAAATGTTTTGGTGAACAGTGTAATAAGCAAGGTGAAAGACTGTAAACCACCTATCCAAATGGAAATATAACTGCAGTTCTGTTTTTTACACACAGATTAGAATTGGTAGGTTACAACTGAAAACTCTCAAGGACCTAATGCATAGGAGAAAATATGGAAAATATAAATTAACCACTAAATAAGTGGCATCCATGAGTTTTGCAATATGCCAGCCAATAGTGAGATTTCCATCCCCCCCCCCATTTTATGTCAATAGGGACACTTAAAGAGGTACTTAACAATAGCTATTTCTGCTCAAAAATCAATTTCTAAAATGATTTTACTTTAGCAATAACTAGGTGTTATACTTTTAAACATCTCAATTCAAAGCATTATAAGTTAAAATGTAGAAAATTAAGCCATAAGTGTTCAAATTACAAAAAGATCTCATAAAATGTCAACTTCTATGCATTCTAGGAGTAGAATAATGTTTCAAACAGTTCTGTCAAAGTGTCGCTAAAACTTCCCAGAAGGGAGGGTTTTGTCAGGCACTTTCCACAAAAAAGTGCTGGCCGATCAGGGATGAACACTGCAAACTCATATCCACCGAAGAGGAAGAGAAGCTTGGAGTAGACACAACACCTCAGCCAGTCTACCTGCTATTGTTAGGCATCATTGGCTTTATTCTGTTTAGCAGAATTGCGTATTTTCCCTAACTCTTTTAATTTCGACTTCTGGTATTCCAAACCCTGACTTAACAAAATTGACTGCTCTTCTATATTCTTGGCCTTATTCCTGTGACTAAATATCCTGGTTCTTGTTCAGCACTGTTTCTGATCCTAACCTGGTAACTTGACCTTGATTCCTGATCATGACCTTGATCCTGATTCTGTCATTTGTATTCCTGCTCCATCACCTCAGTGTGTGCCAATGCAAGCATAAAGGCTCAGCATCATAGCCACTTCCTGCACTAAAAAGACTTCCTCATAGCCCAAGTTGACTTAAAGGAGGAAAATAAATGTAACAGAAATGGCACGAAGGCATGGGCAAAGAAAGATTCATTCCTAAAAGAAAAGGTAGAGATCCAGAAAAAAATACAAGCAAACAAAAGAAAATACTTTGATAATTAGTTTACATCTAAATGTCGAGAGAAGAATTTAATCATAGAATACATGTAGTGGGAAAGGCTGAGTGTACAAGTTTTCTCTATTTAAAACTGAGATGAAAACACAATTTCTCTTTGGAGTATTAGGTAGATTTACTCAGTAGTAGTCAGTACATGTCCTGACTGATTAAAGAGGAGGAAAAACCCCTCCCAGTTAGGAATGCTTCAACCTCGATTGATCCTAATCAGGTAAAAAGTGTTTAAATTAAGCTAAAATCAAATGCAAACTAGCTGACGACGGATGTCTGGATAATGATCTAGAAATACTTTCATGCAGATGAACCCAATTTTTTTTGTCTGTTTTGCTGAGTTTGAAAATAAATACTCATCTTTTCTATCACCTTGTTTTATTTTGTTTGTAGCAATCACCATTATTTAAAATTTATTTATTTACTTGTTCATTTCTATCTTTCCCCACGAGAATATTAATCCATGAGGGTTGTCTTGTTCGTGACTGTATTCCTAGTGCCTATAGCAGTGTCTGGCATGTATAGCAGGCTTTCCATAATTTTCTCAAATGAATTAATAGATGTGCCACTTTGATTCAATTTTTATGAAATTAGAAACAAATATAGTTATCCAAGAAGACCAAGAACAGTATTTCATAATATTTAGCAAATGACTACTCTAATGACTAAAGTTGGTAATAGAGAGAAAGGCATAATTTAGAAATCATTTGACAATAAAAACGAAATTGGTGTTTTCTCCCCACCCAGCTCAATGGACAACATGAATACATGACATTTAAAATACTAATCAACATCTGAACAATTCCTGAATCTCTCTTCACATCCTTTAATTCTGAAGTTATTTTGGTTTCCAATCTTGTTTTGTTCCCATTTTGAAGAAAAGAGAAATGTTCTCTAAGAAAATGCCAGTTGATTAATACCACCTAACTTAGTGAACATCTGGCCTCCAAATATATAGATTTTCATTAAAAGTCTTTTCTCATCTGTCAATAGAGATACCTTAAGTGTTGATGATAATATAATGACAATGACATTTGATATGCGATTCCTTAGGAGGAGAAAGAATGAAATGCTTCAAAGTCGGAAAAATGCAGCTCTTAAAAACCAGCTGGAAAGCTGCAGAGAACGACAGCTTCCCATGTTAGCTCAATGTTATTTTCACCTTGTCCTTTTTTCATCCACACAGGGGAGGAGGTGGAGGATGGAGGAATCTATAATATATATCTCCATCCCCCTACTAGGAAAGGAAACTTTGCATGTAATCTTATGGAGAACAGAGAAAAATACAGATGAGGATAAAATATTTCTGATTTGATAACAGCTAACACAATTAAATTAGTATTTAAGTGACTAATTATAAAACATAGCTGACAAGATTTTTTAGTGCTTTAAACTGTGGACCTTCTACTATTAGAAGGTAATCACAATAGCAATTTGAAAATAACAATTGCTAACATTTTAATAACTCAAAATTGAAGTCACAATAATTACTAACATTGGGAGTTTACTATATGCCAAACCCTGTTCTCCACAATTTACAAAAGTTATCATTTATTCCTGACACTGGTCTTATTAGGTAGGTACTACGGTTATCTCTATTTTACAGGTAAGAAAATGGAGACAGGTATTAAACACTTGCCCAGGAGCATACTGACAGTAAGAAGTGGAACTGGGATTTGTACCTAAGCATCTTCATACACAGACACTCACAGTAATGTATCCACTCCAGATGACTCTTACCAAAAAATGATGGATACAGGGGAGGAGCACAATATCTGCCAAAGTGAAGTAAAGGCCTTCTGCAAACACGTGCTCCAGAGGTGGGAGGTCGGAAGCCTTCGCTTTTCTGATGTGAGAAGGCTCCCTGTTGGTAGCAGCTGGTTCGTCTTGTACTGTGAGTTTTGAGAACGCCACTTTCAGTTCCAGGCTCTGGGACGAGGAGTCCAACTCTTCAGACGTTTCCTGACTGTGGACCTCACTCTTGGTTTTTTCCGCAGCGAGGGGAGGCCCAGCTCCGGCAGCCCTCTGTTGCTTCAGCTTCTGCCTGCGGAGTTTGTCGTCATTATGCACCCTAACAGGCTCGCTGAGCTTTTTCTCTAACTGTCGTATTTCCACAGGGATGGCTGGCTGCTGGTCAGAAGATTCTTTGAGAAACTTCTCAATAGCTAAAGGGATGGTGAGTTCACATAGCCTGGTCCACTGACTAACCTACAAAACAAAGTAAGAAATGAAAGGGTTCTTTACTTTTCAACATCGCTTGAAGGACAGTAACCTTCTATTGGGGAAATAAAACTGGTTTAGAGAATTTAGGTCTTGAGGAGACATATTCCAGTGCTTCAGGAGTGATAACATTAAACAATGTCCACCTGTACCTGGAATACATGCCAACCTCCTGTATCCTCTTACCGAATAAATCCTGACTCCCCAAAGTCTTTAAAGTACATAGCCCTCTAACAGAGCTGGGGTTCCAAAGTACTGCTACTTAAGTTCCTGTTCATGGGTAAAAGTTCCCTTTAAAATCCTCAATGTAATTAAAATAAAAGATTTAAAAAAGTCATTCTCTAAAAATAGTCTCCAAAACTCATAAATTAAATCTTTAAATTATTGTTCAATACTGCTCTGAAATATTTGCTGGGCTAAATATATGATGGGCTACTTTATTTCATGGGTTACTGTAGGTTATTTTAAGGAAATGAAACTTTTGTTTCTAGCAGAAAGTTAAAATACATGTTTAAGTGAATGTGTTATCACTATATGGCTTTAAATAACAGAAAAGAGACATTGTACTTACTTCAGCACAGGCTTTCAAGCAAGTCTTTTTAAAACCCAGAAGTTCCAAGATTTCCTTCCTTGAGGGGTCGGCTTCGTATGATTTCTGAATGATGTGTCTGAGGACAACAGCAAGTCCTGCTCTACAGAAACTGGCTGGTCTTTGTCCTACTGCAGGTAAACAGCAATTCTGGACTATTGCTGGAAGCTCTTGCCTTGAAATAATCTGTATTTCAACATCCGGGGACAGTACATTTTTAAGTAGTGGAATATCTGTACTTTCTCTGGTGAGGACTAAGCAAATTTTAAAGATTTTGCAGTCACAGTATGACAACAAAAACAAAGTTACAGATGTATGAAGTGGAAAGATGCATCCTTCTATTTGGTGAGAAAAGTCGAGATATAGATACTCTTCTGTAAGATTTTTTTTCTTAATGCCTTTCATTTTCTTTTTTCATTGGGTCACCTGAAGCATAAATTAAAATGGTTATAGGCCAGCCAAATGGCTCAGTTGGTTAAGAGCTCGCTCAAGAGTGAGAGCTCTGAGCAATAGGATCGCCGGTTCGATTCCCGGCCTGAGCTGAGCTGGCGCTGACCTGCCAACAGGTGGCAGGATGGCTCAGCTAAAAATAATTTAAAAAAAATAATAAAATTAAAAAATAAATAAAATGGTTATGTCTTAGAATATTATAATTTAGAAAGTAAAATAAAACATGAATATTTTAAAACCCTGTTCTAAAAAATCAGCAAAGATTTGTGATAGATACAATTTTATAAGAATTTGTTCCTGAACTGAATAAATGGCCTCCAAAAGAAAGATTTCCACCCTATGTAATTAACTAGTTCTAGGGGTAATTTTACACTCCATTCCTTTTAAATGAGCAAACTCAGGTGTTTGCAACAGAACCCTTCCAATCAAGTACTTTAAGGTTTCACAACAGGTATGAAGAAGAAATGAATAGAATGGAAAGTGAGAAATAACCAAGGATACTGAGAGTTGTCTGGGGATAACAGCCCTGGGAAGCTTTGACAACTGGTCCTCCCACAGTTTTTGTTTTATGACCTTACAATATAATAATCGGGTGGGGGGTTGGGAGGTATAGTTACTCCCTCACGAGAAATATATGCTCATAAAGTAAGTGGGTTTTGATATGTGATACGCTATTGATTGCATGCTGAATCACAAAAGAAAAACATTTGAATTTCCCTATAACTTACAGATTGATAGGTGAGATATCTCTAAATTAACATGTCCAAAATCCAGTTCTTTATTCTCCCCTACCCCCCAAATCTATACGTCATGTATCTGTCCCATCTGTTAATAGAATACCATCCTTCTAGCTGCTCAGGCCAAAAACGTAGGGAGTCACTGTGAATTACTCTTTTCTGTCACATCTGCATAGCCAGTCCATTACAAACGTATTTTGGCTCTACCTACAATATAGATCCAGAATCTGATCATTTTAAACCATATTCATTGCTTCCACTGTGATCAAAGGCACCATTACCTGTTTTCTGAATTATAGCATTTGCCTCCTAACCTGCTTCCCATCCTACCTTCTCATCTACTCTATTCTCAACGTAACAACCAAAGTTATCCTGTCAAAAATGAAGATTATGTCACTACTTTGCTCAAACCTTCCGATGTCTTCACATCCTACTCACAGTTAAAGTCAAACTTCCTGCAATGGCTTACAAAGGTCTCTTTGACCTAATTCTCTTTTTGCCTCTGAGTTCATCTCATAGGCTCTCCTCATCGCTCACTGCTCCAGCCAGAGTATCTTGTTATTCCTCTAAGATGAGAGGTACATTCCCACCTCAAGGCCTTTGCACTCGACAGTTCCAGCTCCTGGAACACTCCTTCAGCTCTTTCAGGTATTTACTCAAATATCAACTTCTTACTGAGATCTTCCCTGGCTACTATATTTAAATCACAAACATCAACCCCCATCCTCTCTGAACAAAGCTTTCTATCCCCTTCTATGCTTTTCTTCATAGCACTTATCATTGTTGTAACATGCTATGTATTTGTTTTTCCTGTCCAAACTAAAATGTTCCATGAATAGATATTTTTTGTTCATTGCTATGCCTAAAACAGGGCCTACCATGTATATGAAATAAAGTATTTATTGAATGAATGCATGGATTAACATATACACTGGTTATTTTAAAGATGCAAACATACACACTTTTGAGGTCAAATTACTGATGGGTATTTTCAAGTCATACTCCTTAAGGCTTTTGTTAATTATCATAACTTTTTGTTTCATTTATTCATATCCTGGGTCTAAAATTCTCCATGTTCTAATCCATAAATTGCAATTCCAAAACTGACACTAGATGGCACTCCTTAAAAGCATTTACCTTGGAAGCATGTAGTAACAGGACGGTATTATCAGAGGAAAAATTATTTTGAAAGCCTTTAAGAAGTGCACATACAACTCTTTTAAGTGTATTTGAAATATTAGTGTACCCTGAATTTTAGGAAACCTTCAACATACTAAATTTCTTTTAATATCCTAAATTTCTTAGGGTTATTTTTGTTTTTTTAAATCAAAAGCAAAATAGTCAAACACTCTTTAAGCTTTTTGGTCCTCAACTTTTTTTATTAAAGAGACACTAATAATCCATTATAACAAAGGGATATAGTTAGTAAGATACTGTCTTAGGAAACTTGTCGATAGTGCAAATAAATAATCACTACTGATTTATTTTATGTATCTTTTATTAAAACATAACAGATCTGCACCATGGTTTGTTACTTCTTTAAAAGATTATTTAGGGGAAAATTATTTCATATAATTTAAAAGCAACAACTTTTTAACCCATGAAACCATTTTCTCCCTGAGCTTAATTACCTTTTGGTTTTTTTTTTTTTTTCTTTTTTTTTTAACCTAGACTTGATTTTAAAGCAAAACATTAATGGGTGTTTATTATAGCCCACAAGCAAAATAAACCAATGTTTTCTAGGAAACTGACAGTCCCTTTGAGGAGTTTGCTCCTATAAATCTATTGCTGATTAATTTACCAGTCCTCTTAACTACCTCTTCTGACAGTGAAATATTATGAAGTTCCCTAAGTGCTTCAAGAGCCAGATTTGAAAGAAAACATGACCAATTTCATTTGTCCAGCAGTCTAAGAAACAGTAATTATAAGATTAGTCCTAACACTTAAAAAACAAAACAAGACAAAAACTGATAAAAATTTCATGCTATGTTACAGCTTTTGATTTAGGATATGTGGAATTTTTTTTTTAATTAGGGTACATTATATTTGCCACTTTCAAAGGCATGTAAGAACCTTGAGAATAGGCTTTTACATGTTCTATAAACCATGCTCTCTGTGAGCACTTAATAAATACTAAATGTCAGTGAGATAGAATAGCAATAACCTGCCCATGGAGATATCTAAAAATTAATGAGATGCCTGAGAGAAAATGCAAAGTACTGTTGGTTCTTAACAGAATTTATTTTTTTCCAATATAGATGTTGATTTTGTTTTTCCTGGGAGATTAAAAATGTTACTTAATGATCTTGGAGTTAAAAAAAATTATTCTCCCTGGGCTGTTTCTCCCTATTACATACTCATGTAATTTCCAAAATAAATATTAAGTATTTGCAAACTTGTACAAATTTGATATCTGTTTTTGGCTTGTACTGTCTTTAATTTTTCAAGAGTAGAGCACAGTTTTTGCTTAAAGTTTACAAACACTAAAGGCAAAAGAAACCCCTCTTTTTCTTCTCCATTTCTACCTAGAGAATTCCTTAGTTCACTAATTTTATGTCATGAGCTTTAAAAAGATAGGTCCTGTAAATCATCTTCTGCCATCTCCAGGGCTTCTGGGGCACAGCCCTAATGTTCCTCCATATTGCATTGCTGTCAAGCACAGAAGTAGTGTCATTTGCTCTTTCTCAGCTTTGGCAGGTGCCACCTTCAACTATTCCTGAAAGGAAGTGAGAAAGCAGCAGACAAAACAATAAACTCTAGGAGCTGAACAGAGCTAACACAGTGTGTATCTCTTCCCTGGACATGCCAGTTTGCGTGAGAATGTTGCAGAGAGAATTAACAGGTAAAAAGGAAATGTTTAAATCTTGGTTTCGTTACTTGGGAGTCTTCAAAGATATTTTAAACAACTGAAATCATCAGAGGTTTAGTATTTTAGGCATTTAGACTTTTTTTGTATTCTCATTCTAATTAATATATCTTGGTGTTCACAAATTGAAATACTTCACATATAAAAAGGGAAGGGAGTTTTGTAGGCATTTTCTTATCTAAAACCACTTTACTACTTCACTCCATCTGCATGTGTATATGAGAAAGAGAGAAAGAAAAAAATACAATAAACATATTGAAAATAAGCATACTTCTTCAGAAGCTGAAAAAAGTTTTTTGAAAGTTTTATGCTCAAAATTCAAGTTTGGGGCCGGCCGAGTGGCTAAGTTGGTTAAGAGCTGACTTGGGATTCCAGAAGGCCCTGGTTCGAATCCCACATATGAGGGGCAGTGACACTGCCCTCTACAGCTAAGATGCTGAACAACAGTTCAACCTGGAGCTGGGCTGCCATGAGTCACCGGCGATGGCATAGGCTGCAGCCCCTGCTGCAGTGGGTTGCCATGGGCTACCATGTGTAGCCAGCAGCCAGCATGAGCGGCTGTCCAGAAGCTGGCGACTGATCTGCCTCGCCCAGGAGGAGCACAATGATGGTGCCAACTTGAGCCAGTGAAGCAATGTCCTCCACAATTAGACTGAAGAAGAACAACAAAAAAACGACAGCAACTTGTCTGTTCCCCTTCCCCCAATTCCCCAGCGCTGTTCCCATCCCCCAATTCCCCAATAAAAGTCTTAAAAAAAGAAAAAAATTCAAGTTTGGATTTATGGCAGCTAAGTTGACATAATAAATAGATAAGGTATATATTATATAATAAAGAACAAAAGTACATTACTGCAACAAAATATTGACTAGTTGATTTGCTTTGTTCAAATAAATTATCACTGCCTGGAATTGATAGGAGTTTAATAAATGTTAAATGAATAAACAAAGAATACAATCCTAAATAATATTACGTACATTTTATTGTCTACCTACTGTGTGCTTAGCACAGAGAATTTTAGACAATGCTTCTAATCTTCACAATCTTAAAAGTACGATTTACTCCCATTACATGGATGAGAACTGTACATCAATTCAAAGTATTAATTGAATCTATAAAGGGGTCTTATTTGAAAAGTCAGGAATTGGTATTTTTCTAATATTCATAGCATTATTTTATAAACCTAGAATTTCATAAATTGAAGCATATTGCAATTTTATTGCAGTTATAATTTCAGTTTCCTATAGGCAAAGGTGTCAGATAATAGTGCATTTTAACTCCCTATTTGTTTAATCTGTATGCAGAACATATACAAAAAAATGGGGCTACACTCAGAGGAAGGAGTAAAAATTGGTGAAAAATACCAATAACTGAA